ATTTAAATTTTAATCCTCGAGCCGTTACAACAAATTTGAAGATTTCTTCTCCTCATTGTAAAGGTTAATTAAATAAATTAATAATTATTGATATTTATAAAATATAAAATTGAAAATAGTATAAACCGGAGTACATAATAGTGTACCCCAGTCCCGCCCAAAGTTCCATCAAGTCTTCTCCTCGTTACGCCACATAACACGCATTTGAAAAGTATTCAGTCAACACCCAATAGCTATACGCCACGTTTACAAATCACTGTCACAGACATGACAGTCAAGTCAGTTGAAAAATCTCCTTCCAAGACTTAGCTCCTAAGCAAATTTTATTTCACGGCGGTGCGCTCTTTCTAGGATGCTACGTGTAATTAAAACTTTTAATATTTTATTATATGGTCCCTATATATATATATATATATATATATATTTTAAATTTTTACATACTTTAGAAATTATTAAGATTAAACTATATAAATTAAATTGTATACCGACTAAATCAACGATTTGAATATGAAGTCATCGTCTCTATAGTTAGGGACGGAAAATATTTTTTAGTCTAATTTATTAGTCTAAGTTATACTTTCAATGTACACAATCATTTTATTAATAAATATTAAAGTCCTGTAACATTGTGGAAAACTTTGACTAAAGGGAAATAACACATCAAAATTATTTATAGTATTAAATGTAATTGAAAATTGCACATATTGAAGGGTTCAATTTGTATTATTAAAAAAGAAGAAAAAATAATAATGGGGTGAGTTTGAATAAGTTAATTCAATAATTTTTTTTTTATAATATATGTCTAAATTATATTTTTTTTATACCATAGGAGATAAATTTAAATAAGCCAGAACTAATAAGGCTAATTTTGTAATTTAACAAATTTTTAATTTTTTTTTTGTACATAAAGTTTATAATTAAAGTATAAAATGTGAAGAATAAGAAATAAAGAAATAAAGCAAGGAGTGGATGTGTCACGCTCCCCATAAAAAACGCGTTTTTTCTGCCGTCATTCACATCAGCATTCAAGCATTAGTTCAACAAACATAAATAAAAATTCAACCTATTTAATTAATTGATCTCACAAATTAAAAATAAATAAATAAATTAACTCGAGCTGTTGTCAGTATTAGAAATGTGTTCAGTTATTATCATTATCTATACCAACAAGTTGCACATTCAATCTCAGTAACTAAGTCATAGAAACTTCATGCTTAAGCATATTTTAGTTAAAGAAATTTTATTCTAGAAGAACTCGTGTTAGTATGTAGGAGTGGTTCTTCACTCCCAATAAGCGATTGGATAATAGAAATCTCTTCCTAGCATACGCATTTCAAAATCTTGATGGGAAACCCGACAATATTTGTTAGTGGTGGATTTGAGTTGTTACAAATGGTATTCGAACTAGACATCGAATGATATGTTAGTGAGGACGTTGACTCCCAAAAGGGGTGAATTGTAAGATCAGATCGTTGGAGAGAGAAGAACGAAATGTAAGAATGTTAGACAAATCTCCACACGGCATACTCCATTTCGAGGAAATTTCCCTTTTGCCCCTCCTCTTTCCCTAATTTATCACTCCATTTCTGCACCAACTCTCTCTCCTCAAACACCCACTCTCTCCATTCCTCTCTCTTCTAATTCCCGAATTACTCTGTGTTTAAATTTTGTTCTTTGTTTTCGGCGATTCCGAGGTGAAGAAATCTGATTATGGATCAAAATTACAGCAGCAACCAGCGGTCTTTCTGGCAATTCAGCGACCAGCTACGTCTCCAGACCGCCACCCTTGCCAATTTGTCCACCAATGATTCCATTTGGAGCAACTCCTTTGTCTCCGGCAACAACCACAACTCGTTCGATGTTCGAGTCGGAGCCGAGCTCGGTTCTTCCAACTCTACTTCCAAGCTCGCCTCCAACCCTAACACCTTTATCAACGGTAATAATTTTGGTTAAGTTGATGAGTTATGATAAATTTAACAAACTACCCAACTCAATTCATAAGAGTTGAGTTGGATCGAAATTTTGGTATGATTTAAAAAGGTTTTTCATTTGACGTTTATATTTAATATTTGATTTTATGAGATTTTAGTTATTATTGTAACATGTATGGTTGATAAGAATAATTTTTTTAAATAATTTTAAAAAATAAATAATTGGACGACCTAATCTAAACTCGAAAATAAAAGGGTTGGGTTGAATTGGGTTGTGAACCCTGTTTTCGGGGTCACCGACCCGTGTCATCTCTATGTACTATCATGTATGTATCCGATGGACAAAAAAAAAAAAAATTGTAATAAATAATAATAATAATATTTTGCTTTCTATATTATTTTTGTTCCTTTAATTAATATTTTGCTTTCTAATTTTATGGTGTCTTATTAGACGGCTGGAACAGTTTCAAGACATTCGGGTCGGATATTCTAAGTGGCAACACGAACCCGAAGCCACTCGGGTCGGGTAATAGCTTCAAGAACCCGGTGAACGATTACGAAATGTGGAACAATTTCAAGGCAGGAACCGGGTCGGATCTTATAGGCAGTAGCCTGAACTCGAAACAGCTCGGGTCGAGTAACACCAACGTCAACGATCTAGTGAACGACTTCGGAACGTGGAACAGTTTCAAGCCAGGACTCGGGTCAAATCTTCTGAACCCGAAACCGAACCCGATCGGGTCGGGTACAAGTAACAAGGATCCAATAAACGAATACGGTTTATGGAGCGGTTTAAAGGCGAAAACCGCCAGCGATTACAACGGATTCAACGACGGGTGGAAAATCAACAACGGAACAACGGTGAAAAACCAAAACCCTAAGGAGATCGGAATTAACAACGGCGGAGGGAATTACAGCAAGGGATTGTACTACAAATTGGGGACACCGGCGAACGGAAACGGGAATTTGAATTGGAAGAACTACAGAAGCGGCGGGGAGGAAGCGGAGCATGGCGGAGGGAAAGGGGGAAAGAAGGGGAATAAAGGGAAGAATGAAAACGGAACGGTGGAGAAGAGGTTCAAGACGCTGCCGGCGGCGGAGGCGCTGCCGAGGAACGAAAGAATCGGGGGGTATGTATTCGTGTGCAATAACGAGACGATGGCGGAGAATTTGAAACGGCAGCTATTTGGGCTGCCGCCGCGGTATAGGGATTCGGTTAGGGCAATAACGCCGGGGCTGCCGCTTTTTCTGTACAACTACTCTACGCACCAACTCCACGGCGTTTTCGAGGTCCCGTTTCTTTCTTTTACTTATTTTTATTTTCATTTTTCTGCTTAAAATTTGGGGGAAAAAACAGATTATTTCATAATAATTAATTAATTAATTAATTAATAAAGTAACAATTAAATGATTTCAGGCCGTAAGCTTTGGAGGGACAAATATTGATCCGACGGCTTGGGAGGACAAGAAATGTCCCGGAGAATCCCGTTTCCCTGCTCAGGTATATATATTTCTTTTTATATGTGTGAATTTATTGTTCGAAATTAAATGCTATAAATTAGAAAAATGTAGTTTTGAAAGCGAAGGGTAGTATAGTAATTTTGAAACAATTGAATGAAAATTAGAATTAGAATTTGAAATCTTCATAAAAGATGCAGGGTAATATGGTAATTTTGAAATGAATTTAATTTTTAAGAAATTAGATATATGAGTAAATTTAAAATGTAATTGAAAGTAAGTACGACAAATTCAAAATTAAATGCTACATTACAAAATATAAACTTAGAATATTGAATGAAAATTAGGATTTGAACCAAAATTAAGGTTGAACTTCGAACATAACTGTACGGTTTTAAGTTACTACCACACTCGGTTTTACGGTGATTCTGCATTTAACGGGTAGTTTTGAAACGTGAATAAAATTTGAATGGAGGGGTAATATAGTAATTTTGACGAGTAAATATGAAATGGGGTGTGCAGGTGAGAGTGATAAGAAGGGAAGTATGCGAGCCATTGGAGGAGGACTCGTTCAGGCCAATTCTTCACCACTACGACGGCCCAAAATTCCGGCTTGAGCTCAGCGTTCCGGAGGCCATCTCTCTTCTTGATGTTCTTTCCCACCAAAATTCTTAATTCTCTCTCTCTCTCTCTAGAAGCTTAGAATAAATATATTTATGTACATAATTATACTCCTAAAGTTTATATATATATATATATATATTTATAATATGATATGATATATGTAACGTTTTTGTCTACTATAAATATTACTGTTTCAAATATTATATGAATTAATAAAAATATATTTAATCAGGGCAATAGATTCGCACCCAGCCGCCCCGCTCCGATCTCCACAGCAGAACCGGTCCGGTTCGACCCATTGCAAATATAGAAATATGTTTTCTTTGACCGTTTTGAGCCGGTATGGGCCACCGGTTCTTTGCTCGGTCCGGGTTTCGTCGGCGGAGGGCGGGTTTGAGATCTTCAATGGCCGTGGATTAACTTACTCGCCGGCGGCTGGTTCAATTTTTTTTGGTTTTTCCGGCGTTGGGTTCATAGTAACAAAACGGTGGAATAGGAAATGTGGTGGGAAGTTGGGAATGGGCCAATCGGGTGGGTTTGGAACTTATCGGATTTTCAAATTTGTGTGTGATTAAGTGGCATATGAATGGACACGTGGATTCAGTGGGTGCTTGCCATGTCGAACACATTGACATGCTTTTGACTCGACAAATATATTACAATAAAATCTCAATAATGATAAGATTATTTGTTAACTTAAATAATTTGGATGACCTTTTTAAAAATATTACCTGACATTTTTTCAACATTGATATTTAGAAACTTGCAACTACAGCTCAACTAAGCCATTGATTTAAATCATTACATATTCACCATCTCAAAAGTCAATAGATCGATCTTCTGCTACTGACATGTAATCGTTCAACTCAACAAGTCAACTAATCAGAAATTCATCTAAGGTTTTAAGCTTTGGATGTGATGGAAAGGCTTTACATGTGGTATCTATGGAGCAAGAAATAGTAAGCTAAACAATTGTGGCTCAAGAAAGTTGCATTCTTCCGAGGCTAGAAGAAGAATATGATAGCTATGATACACAGTCAAAATAGAAGAGCTCAGTCAAATATATTTATAATACCTAAAATTAGCCGCGTTTGAAGAATACATCAGAGTAAAAGGGACATTGAAGGGCTAAGGAGGAAAGGGTTCCAGCTTACCTCATTTTCCTCCATCTCCGGGGATCCTTTCTATGGTCTTGTTTTACAGGGTTAACAATCCATGGTGAATGAAGCTTTCTCCTCTGTATTTTTCCATAAAGGGTGAAGGGTATCCAAACTAGAACTACAAAAATGAAATAACAGTTGCTAACTATATATAAAAGCAAGGATTACCGTCATCATGCTGCTAACAAGTATCCATACCCAAACCCCATTCGTCGAGCACGTCTTCCCAGATTGACAATCTCCAATGAACATGAGAATTCTAGCAGATAGTAGCCTCAGAGTTGCAATGCACATGAAAAGAAAACTCACGGCTAGCACCGCAAGTTCTTTGCTTTCTAGCATGGTTTGGTCGCTGGATATTTTTTCAATATCTAAGCTGTAATAAGAGAGAGTGAGGGGGAGGGGGAAGGGGAGGAGGGGAGGTTAAAGGATAACCAGAAAAATCAGCTTCTAGTAAGAGAGATGGAAGTCAAAAGATGAACATTCAGATAAATATGTAAACAAAAAATAAATGAAATCATCTCAACTATGCTTCAAAATGCTACCCATGTTATGCAATCCTCAAAGTCCATTAGGTTTTTCTTACACATATTTTGATCTTTCTTTGAAAAATGGAGGTTGGCAAATGGTTTATGGTCTCCAATTTGGAGTGCTACCTTAAGTTTAAGAAATTCATGTGATGACTAACATTTAAGCCTTTAAAATTCAATATAAAATGTATAAATCCATCCCTTCCTAGTAGAGATGTCAACGAGGCAGTGTTGGGAGAGGGTAACGAAGAATATGTTTCCAGTCTCGATCCCCGTCCTGCCTGTCCAATGAGGATTTAACCATGTGGGATATTGCATGGGGAATTGGTGGCGGGGAAGGAAACGGGGACAAGGAAGCCCCCTAATCCTGAATGGAAAATGGAATCACTAATTCTACCGACAGAGACAATGAAAACTAGTTCTGCTGTTTTGGGTCTGGCCAATATAAGACACACAGCACTAACCAAACGGATGCAGCTAATTTGTTGAAAAGGAAAAACAAGTACATAAAGCTTGTATATTTGGAGAAGTTTTTTGTTTATCTAACCTGAGCATATTATTCTCTCTGACCAATTCATTCATTTCCGATATAGCAACCATCTTCCATGATTTGAAGTGAGCCAGTTCTTTTTCCTAAAAAGTGGTAAAGGTATACAAGTACTATCAGAACGATGGGAGCTCTTTATTGTAGCAACTAGTCAGAAGATGCAAGAAAGTAGTAAGTAACTCACAGTCGTTTCCTTCCAAAGCATGAGATCCTTGATGACTAACTTAGTATTCTCCAGAAGCAATGATATTCTATCCATCTCTTTCTCAAGATCTGGTAAAAGTTTCCCTTGTCGTCGGTTCATTTCTTTGGTATAATCCTCTAGCACAGACAAATTAGTCTCAAGTGACCTCACCTTCTGCATCAAGATCTTCAGGACAGTGTCACTAGGTATTCTACCGTTTAGCTGTTGTCTAGCTTCAATTACAGGGTCAGGAAATTTGTTAACATTCATGGGGTTTTTTGCAACCTCTAGACCAAGACTCGTCGGATCATCCATGCTTTCTGTCCCTGCCCCAGCCCTCAATAAGTTATTTTCATCATTTTCTATCTCATTAGCTGCGCCAACATCTGATTTTAAAGAAGGCGACACGGTTGAATTAGGCTCGTCTAGGGAATTTTTCTTGGGCATAGCTTCTGAAGAGGTGACAATGAGATCTTCAAGCATCCTCTCCATGACATCAACACCATAGACTTCTACTATACTCAATGTGCAGTAGAACTCTGACCCATAATGACTAAGCAGATCCAACTTTAAGTACCTAACCCATTGTGGTTCAGGCAGCTTGAAGACTTGAGCCTGTTTCACATTAGCAGCAACAAAGTTCCCCAATTTAGACCATGTTTCAGTAGGATAGCTCAAACTGCCAGACAAGTTAAATTCCTTGAAATTAGAAGAATAATGTTCAAAATTTGCAATTTTCACAGCATCAACTAAGGTCTCTTCTGAGAGCTCAATCACAACATACTTCCCTCCCACAGAACAAGGATTCCTCAGGTACTTATTATGGTCTTTCTCCAATATATTACATGCTCCTTTTGCCTCCTTGTTATGAGCAACCACCTTTGCACCCTTCGACGCAGATGCATAGTTGTAATCCGATCCATCAGGTTCAAGCCGATGAGTGATGTTAACTAACTGATCAGGCATTTTTCCTTCTTTATCTTTCATTGTAATGTTGCGGAATTCATCCAAATTAAGATAAGTGGAGTGAGAACTTCTGCTACCAGGACCTTCCTGATGTTTTGCTGAGCGTGGCTTCTTCTCTGGCTGTTGAACTTTACACATCAAAGATGAATATCCTAGTGCACTCAAAATTGCTTCTTCAAATTCCTTTGACTCTAGAAGTGAGTAATTGGAATTTGCATAGCTGTGATGAACATAGGATTCATTACAGTTCATTGACACATTAAGTTCAAAAGACGATCCTGAGTTCATACTGTTTCTTCCATTTGCTCTGGATGAATAGGCGTGTTCACCCAGCTTCTGGTTTCCATTACTAGGGCAAACAGTGCTTTTGTTTACAGAAGAAGAATCTCCTGGAAAATATGACTGAAGTCATTCTACCCTAATTTAAGGTACAAGTAGAAGGAAAAACCTTCCAAAACATTACAGATCGGCAAACTAATCCTACCATCATCAAACACAGAATTTCTAAACAAAAAGCGTCCAGATCAGCCAAGATTATACCGACGCAGAATCAATTACTTTTGTCCTATTTCAAACCAAGGATTCATTAGCAATAAAACAGCGAAAGATGGTAGAAAAATGAATCAAACAGTACCAAAACAATCAACTAAAAAGTATCCGCTATCCTGTTCCACAAAATCGTAACACGAAAGAGGGAGAACAATAATAATAACAATAAAAGGGGAAGTAAAGAGGTTGGAGGATTGTACCAGCGTCGCCATAGCCAAAGATGAGCTCGGAGTAGAGCAAGCAGGCAAGACAAGAGATGGAAAAGAGCAAAGAGCAGAAGAAATCATAGAAACTGGCTCCCATGTTACGGCAGTTGTTCTGGCCTTCAGTGTCGTGATCTCTATTGCCATATCTGCTCCTCTTCTTGATCCGACATCTGATACACAACAGATCGTCTTGAGAATTCTCCATCTTCAACTACGATCATGCGAGAGAGGGAGATGGCGAGATTCAGTGATGGAGTGCTTGGTAAAGGTAATGGTAATGGAAATGGAAATGGAGAGGCCATGGATTTTTCAATATGTTTGTGGCGATTCATTGCTCCAAACTCCAAGAGTAGCGGAAACCACTTTCTCCCCATTAGAGAAGGAGACCGTTTAATTCGGGGGTTTTGTATTAATCAAAACCAAATCATTTCTTCCTCAATTTTTTCGCTATATATATATATATATATATATATATTTTTTTTTTTGCTTAAGCTGACGTGGACAAAACAACCTCGAACTAGAGAACCAAATGTCATTTAACCTCGGAGCTAGCCGACCCCGTTCTAAAGATCCTCCTAAGAGTCGAGAAAGATTTCTCCTAGCTAAATGGAGTTGGGGATAGAGATCCATTCCCGCCCCACTTTAATATCCAAACTAAAACATACCGACCGCATTCCAAAGATCTTTGTAAATGAGGAGTCGAGAGAGATTTTTCCTACATAAATAGACCTGAGAATGGATACCCATTTCCGTCTCACTTTTATATCAAAACTAAAACACAAAATTAATTTTTTCCCGTCCCAAAATAGGACTGACTCCATTCTAAAGATCTTTGTATTTCTGAAAGAGATTCATTCCACCTATTTTTATATTAAAATTAAAATATAAAATTAATAAATAAATATTTGTAATGATTTATGGTGCAATATTAAAATTTAATATTTTAGAAATTATGTTGAATATTATATTATAGACCTAATTGAAAAATTAATTACTTAATAAATATTTTAAAATTTTAATGATCTATTAAACAATAAATTTTAAATATTAAAATTCTTTTAGTTGAAGTACTTATTATTTGTTTAAATTTAAAATGTAATATTACTCGAAATACAAAAAAAAAAAAAAATATTGTTTATAAATGTCGAGAGATTGAAAGATGAAGTTGAGAAATCGTTAGGTTTAACAAGGCATTTTTCTCAATTAATTTAAATATTAATTTAAGAACTCATCAATCTATTAGACAACGAGTGTCAATTTCCACTCATATTCGAGGAGCAAATCAAACTCTCAGCATCGAGATACTTAGAACAACGTCTTGATGCTACCCTATTTTTTTAAAATTGTCTGTAAATTAAATATAGATTCGAGGCGCTTGAGGCAACATTCAAACACTGAGGACACTGTCTTAATGCTACATATCGAAAACAACAGTGATGAGCGCCCCACATCGTTAAGCGACAAAAGTTCCAAAATCGTAGTGTCTAGACGCAACCCTTGTCGGTTTTGAGGCTTGCTTGCATGATTCCTGAGTGTTGAGATACTTTAGACAATGTTGAGACAGTGTCTATTCATAAATTCTTGATCTAAACTACTCTTCTTAGCTCCAAATATTCAAAGTTCCCGTATAAATCATAAGTTTCACAATTTACGGCTCGAATCCTATAAATGACCAAATTAACACATGAAAGCATCTGTAGCAGCCTAAAGTCCACCGCTAGTACATATTGTCGTCAGCCTCACAGTTTTTAAAACGTTTGTTAGGGAGAAGTTTCCACTCTTATGAAAAATGTTTTGTTCCTCTCTCTAACCGATGTGGGATCTCACAATCCACCTCCTTAGAGGCCCAAATCCTCGCTAGCACACCATCCAATATCGGATTTTGTAACTACTTATGACCGACTAGAAGAGAAGCCAAAAGATGACAATATTGACTATTTGGGGGCTTAGGATGTTACACCTCCTTGGAGGCTCAAGTCCTCGCTAGCACACCGTCTAATATTGAGCTCTGAAACCACTTATAACCGGCTAAAAGAGGAGCCAAAAGAGGACAATATGGGACTAGCGGTGGGCCAATAATAATTAATTCACTTTGTGGGATATCATATTTGTTCTTAGACAAATTATATGATACAATCAACTTCCTCCTTTTATCTCTATGCTATAAATTACCGAACACTAATGTTTCTCATAGGCACTATCTATTTCCACTAGCTTAGTTCATCAGCCACTCGAAACACCGGCGGTTGATCATCAATGGTTTTCGGAATCGCATTTTCTCTCCGCAACCGTGTTTCGAGGACGATCGTTACTGTCAACAGAGTCACCAACGCCATCGCGAAACCTATCTTCAGGTCCCGATTGTCGGTACGGTTTCCATGGAAGCCGACGCAGATGTTCAAAACTGCGATTACCATTGCGGCTCTTCCCACCCAATAGTGAGCGAAGTTCCAATACGGCCGGCGTTTGGAGTCCATCGATGGCCGTCCAATAAACTGGCAAACCTGTAGCAAAATACAGAGTTTCAGATCTGGTAACAAATTAGGGCGAAATGAGGTTCGTTGCCTTACCAACCTCGAGACCTGCAAGAAAAAATGCAGTGTATCCGAATAATCTGTGCGTTGGGTTGGGGAAACCGGTTTTCGCGTACAGATTGCGTCCCATGGAGATGGAGATGATTCCGACGAAGAAACCGACGAACTGTACTGAAGAATGAAGGTAATACCAGATTGGTTTGATGTGTCGAAAGTACCTAGCGATCATCAATCCGGCGGGCGTTATAATGCCCCAGCCTATTATCGCCGTCAGTCCGTGGTATCGCCTTTGAACGTTGGGCGCTATTTTTTGCCCTATTTGATGAGCAGCATAAAACGGAAAATCCATTAAATTAGGGTTTCGTTTATGTCAATCTTCTCAAAATCGCTCTGTAGAAACAAGAAATTGGGGGAAAAACCTGAGGAGAGTTCGATTAAGGTGGTAGTCTTGTTGATATGTTTGGGGAGAAGGCCATTTTCTAGTGGAGTTTCAGAGCCGATTGCCAATAAAACGTGATGGTCAGCCACGGATGTCGCGAACTGGAGCTGGAAAGCGATGTAGATCAAATCTCCACGAACAACAACTACAGGGTTCACACTGGTGAATCGCAAATCGCCTTTGTCAGGTATGACTTTACTCATGTTCTTGCCTTTCAAATAGTATTGCCTTATTCCTGATATGCCGTTGCTCTCAACCCACGCCACCACCGCGCTCGATCCCTCCATATTTCCATCTCTGGAGAATCCGATTCCAATCCATTTATGAACGTGTTTCCCTGATAAAACGAACGTCATCACGTTCTTACCGTCTTGGAAAAACTGCATCGAATCACGAAGAACTATTGGGTCAGAATTGGATGAGATTTTAGCTATCAAATTTGGATTTCTTCCTCTGGTTTCTGCTTATTATTTTTTTTTTTTCCCAATTTGGTTTCTGATTTTGAAAATTAAACCTCATAAACACTACTCCATCGATTTATCTAAGAAGATTGAAAAGCATCGGTAAAGAAATTACAAGAAAATGGGTCTAAATTTCTATTATCTTTCTTAAAGTTTGAATTGGGTATGAATTAGGATGAAATTAAATGATGGATCGAGAGAGTTACACTGAAGGAAAACTTGCGTTCCCAAATGGGGGAGCAGGCGAGGGTGGAGAGTTCAGAATAAGGAGAAGGAAGAACATTTCCGAGATTTGAATTGCAGGTGTCGGAACTATCGCCGACGGATTGGGCGGAGGCTTTGAGCTGGAATCCGATGATGATGGATATGAAGCAGACGAGTGAAAGGAGAAGTTTGTTTGAAGAAGAATTTGAAACAGCCATTTTCTTAGCTTTCCATTTCTTTTTTCTTTTTTGTTCTCTAATTCTCTCTGTTCGCAGAAAGCTTGCTGGTAAGGCCAGAGGTAGCCATTAATGGAAGCACAGCTTTGTGATCAAACAAGTGGAAGGTGGAGAAGGAAGAAGGTCAATGGATCACGCTTGACCATTGTTCTCATCAACTCAAGGATCTTAGCTCTATCATTTTGGTTTGTGGATTAACCCTTAAAACTTTTTTTTTTTTTAACCTTTTTCCTTCTTGTTTAACACACTTCTTTTAATCATACCATGATTTCAACGAAAAATAAGCTTAAATTCATGGATTACACAAACTTTTAAAAATTTCAATAATATGTTGAATTTTATTAAGTTTTAAAAAGATTTATTGAGTTTGGACATAATCTATGAAGTGTCCGGTCAGGTATATAGTTTTCGTCTATATATTGACATAAACTTTCTTCTTTCGTAGAGAGAGTTAATGCTATTTTTAGATTTTATAGATATTTTTTAAATATAGTACTAATAGTAAGGATATTTTTTTATTTTTTTTAAATAGAAGGATATTAATGAAATTTTTTAAAGTTTAAGGGTATATTTGAAATATAGTACTAACGGTTTTCATTCAAAACTGATGATAAGAGTGTTTTTTAGACTTTCTGAAAAATTTAAAGATATTATTGAAACTTTTTAAAATTTAGTGATGTTTTTTTTAGACAAAGTTTAAAGTTTTTGAGTATTCTTATTGGTTTAGCTTGCAATTCCACCGTGACTCGAAGACAAATGCATAAAATTTTTGAACGTAATTGATTTGGATGAAGATTTTCTTGCCTGCCAAAATAGAAACGATCTCGGCCCGATTTTAAAAGTTTAAGAGAATCATTTTAATGTGAAATTTGAATTGAAGCACCACATGGAGGGGGCCTACTAATGTCCTATTTTATTGTTAGGTGAATTTGTTGGGTATGATTCACTCAAAACTCAATGGTTCCTTTCAAATATGATTAAGTTTTTTCCTTTTGACCTTTGGAAAGCTCTCGTAATTAAATCCATACCAAAAAGTTTATCCTTTTCGAGTATTTATAATTTTGTTAGAATAGGAACAATTTTACATATATGCCCTTTGAGTTTCGCTCGTCTTAAAAAATTTTGTTTATTACAAACAAAACCTTTTATCGATGGAAGGAAATAAAAAATACACAGTTATTGATGAAAAAGTACGGTGGATTAGTAAGCGGGTATTTTGATTAAATTAATTTTTTTATTATTTATTGTTTTTTTTTATCAGAATAGTAATTTATTACATCAATTAAAAAATTATTATTATTACTCAACTATTTTGTATAATTTTTTTTTGAAATACAAAATATAAGAATTATGGAAGCTAGAAAATTTATTGAAAATATAATAACTAAATTTTGATAATTAAAATACAATAAACTACAACATGAAGGACCAAAAAGTAATAATAATAAACTTCACAGCTCACTCATCCTAAATATAAACACTTTTCTGTTTTATTTTTATCTTCGTCGTTGTACAAGTAACCGTAACTTCTCTGTAATCAATTTCTCGACAATATTATAAATTCAATCCCTCTTCTCTTCCTGATCCCAAGCTCCTCTCCACAGATTCAATCCTTCAGTTGTTGTTTCTCTATCTGAGCATCAGCCATGGCTACCATTTTGGTCACTGGTGGAGCTGGATACATCGGCTCCCACACCGTTCTTCAGCTTCTTCTCGGCGGCTATAAGGCCGTCGTCGTCGATAACTTGGATAATTCCTCCGAGATTGCTATTCGGAGAGTCAAAGATCTGGCTGGGGATTCGGGGAAGAACCTCACATTTCACAAGGTTTCTGGCTTGATTTTCTCCTATTTTTGCATTTCCTGTTAGATTATGTGTTTGATGTGGTGTGTTAAACTGTGGATCGTGTTTGTTCATGGATTTTGGTTCTTTTTGTTCCGATCCTGTATGTGAGTTTGTGATTTCTTCGAAATGCATGTTTACATATGGATTGGATTCAGTGTCTGTTTTTCGATTTTTCTAGAAGGTTCTTGATCTGAAATTACAATGCGATGGACGATTTTTGATGTTGTTATGACTGTGAATTTGTTTCTCGCAGCTTGATTTGAGGGATAAACCGGCTCTTGAGAAGGTTTTCGCTTCGACAAAGTAAGGATCTATTTATCTTTCTCACCTTTCATACATTGTTTTTTAGGACTCGCATTTTCGCCATTGGGTACAGAAAGCATCTTTGTGCACATGTCTTTTGGCCTTTTTGGTGCTGCCCATTCGAAACTTTAAGGGAAGGGGTCCATCTCTGGAGATGCCCTGGACGTGGAAGGAGGGAATCCATTCCCCTCTTTCATAAGTTTTTTCTTTTTTCCCTTTTTAAATATAGTATTTGAAAATGGTCACTAAAATTTCCTTTTCATTAATTTTATAACATGAACATAGCTAAATTTGGCAAGACTTGAAGGGAAGAAATAGATCAAGAAACATCATGCTATTTTTTTTTTTCTTCAAATTTAGTTATTGTTATAAAGATCATTGAAAAATAATGTGTTGACTTGGTCTTCAATTGCTTAGGTCTCTTAAATGTTGACTGTTTAGGTCCCTCGTTCTCTCTCAATGTTTGTACATGAAGCTTGTTGCTTTCCAAACAAAGGCTTTGCCTTTTCTTTTTGCATTCTACAACTTTTATGGAAATTCAAACTGTTTTTGCAGATTCGATGCTGTCATCCACTTTGCTGGACTTAAAGCAGTTGGCGAGAGTGTCCAAAAGCCACTGCTCTACTATGATAACAACATAATTGGAACAATTGTCCTATTTGAAGTTATGGCTTCTCATGGGTGCAAAAAGGTTCTCTGACATGTTATTAAATTCCATGTAAAAAAGTTCATTACTGACGAGAAATAATAAGAATTTTATACCTAACAAGTCTTTCAAAACTTGGTCTCTTGTCAGCTTGTGTTTTCATCATCAGCTACCGTCTATGGTTGGCCAAAGAAAGTCCCTTGCACTGAAGAGTTCCCTCTATCTGCAACAAACCCTTATGGACGAACTAAGGTGCAAACTACATTGCATTGAATCAGCATGGAACCTTAAATGCTATTTAGAAAAGGAAACTACTCAGTTTTTTGATATAGAAAACCTACTTGGATAATTTGCAGTTGTTTTTTGGTTGAGTAAAACCTTAAACAAACAAGAGACATGTACTCATCGATGGATACGTCTTATTGAGATCGACTGAATTTGCTCTTTCCCTTTCAGCTATTCATCGAAGAAATATGCCGTGATATTTATCGATCAGATTCAGAATGGAAAATCATATTGCTTAGATACTTCAATCCAGTAGGTGCTCATCCCAGTGGAGACATTGGTGAAGACCCCCGTGGAATTCCCAACAACTTGATGCCCTTTGTGCAACAAGTTGCTGTTGGCAGGCGGCCAGCCTTGACAGTTTTTGGAACTGACTACTCTACCAAGGATGGAACAGGGGTATGTGTAGTACCCTGTTAAAAAAAATTAATCTTCTAAATTGTTATTTGAGCTTGGTAGTTATTGTCTGCCCTTGTGTAGGTTCGTGATTACATTCATGTCGTTGATTTAGCTGATGGGCATATTGCTGCATTGCGCAAAGTAGATGATCCCAGCATAGGTATATTCCAATGCTTTTGCTCGGTCATTTCACAATCTCATATTATGCTTCCATGATATATTACTTAATGATAATACCTTAAAGTCAAATGCTTCCTTCTTACGTCCTCCATATTATATCTATTTTGAGCTTCAATTCAATTCAGTTATTTTTAGACAGCATCCAAACAGTTTCATATTTGTGAAGATACTGTTCTTTTTTTGTATATATCCAAGATTCTTTCCCTACCCTTAACATGGATTGATTTTCCCATATTATACAATACCTGCACCATTGTTGAGCTTGTATACCATGAAAACTTTGCTGCCTATGGTGATACTTAACACTGGGAGAAGGATAACAGTGTCTGATATTTATCCACAGGCTGCGAGGTTTACAATTTGGGAACTGGAAAGGGTACTTCAGTTTTGGAGATGGTTTCAGCATTTGAGAAGGCATCTGGAAAGGTAAGAGGCTACTCCATCTGACGATAACAATGCATCATCGTTAACTCAAACATTTGTATTCAGTCGTAGATTAACATAACACGGTATCAAAACAATGAGCAATGACGTTTCCTATTTGGACATTATGAGTCACATAAACATCTAAATCTTTCGAGTCTAGCTTATGCGTTAAGTTGAGTTGAGTTGCAACACATACAATGACATCAAATTCCACTTGCAGAAAATTTCCCTTGTGATGGCGGAGCGACGACCGGGAGATGCCGAAGTCGTATATGCCGAAACAGAGAAGGCAGAGAAGGAGCTGAAGTGGAAGTAAGATTGTTGACAAAAGCTATTGATATGTTTGAATGAATCAATCATCAGCCAGCTTATTTGTTTACTTGTTGTTGAGCAGGGCAAAGTATGGAATTGAAGAAATGTGCAGAGATCAGTGGAACTGGGCAAGCAAAAATCCTTATGGCTATGAAGCTTCAGCCCCCAAAAACTGAGAAACCAAATTTCCACTTAAGATTATTCTAAATGCCTTTTTCTTTTTGGCCATTTTGATGCCCTCTCCGAGTTTGAATAAGCGGAACCCGATCGATCCCTCCATTGCAGTGTTTTAAACACTTCGATACTTTTTGGTCCTCTTTTGAGTCGAAAATGTTTATCTTCCACGAGATTATTAGTATTCGTTTGTTTCTCTTTATCCTTTTTTTTTTCTTTGGAATTTTCTAAAATGGTTTTTGTTTTCCAGATTCTACCAGGAAAAAAACAATGTAATTTACAATAGGGCACAATTTTAAATTTTACCCGAACGATTTTATACGTTAGTTAAATCTTGTAATTGTGACCCTTTAAATACCACATGAAAAAGTCTAATGCCAGCGAGGACCATGATTGGAAATTATTTGATCCTCTTTCTCCGAGAAAGAGGCAAAATATAATCAACTTGAATTCGAAACAGCTATTCAAAATCTTTGTAAAATCTTTGTAAAAGACTGGATTTGTCATCTCATATTTGCTTTTCGTATACGAATTGAAGTGGAGAGCTTCTTCAAACAACAAGGAGCTGGAGCTGGATCAACTATTCAATCAAATGATATTGAGCATGTTTCTCAATCTCTTCTCGAGAAACAAGCGGGCTATTTCTTTGTAAAATTGTGCTATATATATATATATATTTTTTTTTGAAAGCATACGAAAACGTTAACAAATTTTCGAGCTAAAGGTAAAATTAAGTTTATGATAAAAATTTATACAGCGACAAATTTAGGAGTATTCAATAATGAATTGATGCAAACAAGCAGAGGAAAAAAAGTGGGGTTCTGTACAACTATGTGCTAAAGAATTTGTTAATCATTCTTAATTACTTTACATTAATATTTCCATTATTTGAATCAGAAGTTCCATTTCCACATCCCATCTTGCAATCACTCTGCAACGCCAATAACCAAGAATCCACCTGATAAACACAGAATATGGAAAAGGGTTTGAATTCTCAGACCAATAACCACTTCTTCAACCCCATAATTTATTATGTACGATGTTCAGTTCAACCAAAAAGCTCATGGAACGAACTAGAAACATACCTGAATCCTGGAAATGCTCGAGCATTCGTATCGCAGCCCGTGACGTGTTGAGATGTAGAATGCATATCTTACATCTTCATCTTCGCGGGAAATGCTTGGCAGCGAACCCACTTCAACAATGTCAGCTAAAAGGGTGGAATCCTGAGGGCTAATATCTGTCCATAAGTTGTTCGATTTCATTAGCGAACGGATTAAAGGCCTCGTTATATCGAAATAAGTCGACTTTCCAACAACAATATTTCCATTCCTCATGATACTAAGAACAATAGTATTTGAAAGCTCACTCCTATTCTAGTTCACATTTATATCATTGAAACATGGCATAACGTAACATGCCGTAGATATAAGTTTCTACTGTTCTAAGATATTGTCTGTTTTGGCCCGTTACGTATTACCGTCAGCCTCAAGGTTTTTAGAACATGTCTGTTAGGAAGAGACTTCCACACCCTTATAAAGAATGCTTCGTTCCCCTCTCCGATCGATGTGGGATCTCACACAAATCTATATATATTGGTATTAACCAGAGGTGTTCAAAAATGATACTTGCTAAAGTGGATGTAAAATAAAGGATTATCAGCAGGAGGTTGGAGTACCTGTAGATGATAAGTAGAAATATATACATTCTCCATGTAGGACAGCGAAGCGGGGAAGCCAATCATCGACATCGGTATCGTCAATTGGCGGAGGTTCTCCTGGTAGAGCTTCCCACCTCTAAAAGACACACAAAAAAGAAAAAAAGGCATTCAATTGTACAACAGAAGCTATAGTAAACATATGAAGTGTTGAAAGAAGATAGGGGAAAAGTGATTACGGATCGAATGTACAAATAGCCCGACAGACGAGCAGACCGCAGAATTTCATCTATGTGTTCCAACCTGTTCAGAAGAAAATTCTTTTAAAGCTTTTTCATAACCATTTGGTTTTTGAAAACAAAACTCTAAACACTACTACCTATGAGTTTCTTTGTTTTGTTATCTATTTTCTAACCATGTTTTCAAAATCCATGCCAAGTTTTGAAACCTGAAAAAGGTAGATTTTAAAAAACTTGTTTTTGTTTTTAGAATATTGATAAGGATTCAAAAGCAGATGAAGACATTTTCAAAAACAAAAAACCAAAAACCAAAATCCAAATGGTTTATCAAATGGAGCCTAAAAGAACTTGATGGAGTTATCAACAAGCATAAAGGGTTTCCTTACTGAGCTCTTAGGTGAGCTTCCCGCTCTTCAAGATTGGCGATCTCCGACCGCAATGTTGCTACTTCCACAGCAGTCAACACAACCTGCAATTTGAAGATTCATTTCAGCAATGGATGAGAAAATTAACCAAATAACATTGCAAACATGTATGACGAATTACCTTTTCTTGACCATCACTGCCCGAACCCCACGACAGGCGCCGAAAACTCAGCAAGTTCAACATGAATGCAGCACTTCTTAGTTTTTGCCGATTCCAAGAATGGTCATGTGATCTATCCTACACCAAATCAAGAACAATAATCCAATGAGTTAGTTGTCTCTTCTCTCAAATTTTCTTAGTTGCACTCCAATCTAGAAGTCAGAAATAACTACCTCGATGAATCGTGTACTCTAGGGTGTTCTGTGGATGAAGATGGGGTCCTATTTCCAGAACAGTCTGAATCGGAAGTTGAAACTTGAAAGTGATCTGGAATAATCTTTATCCTTGTGGGGGTATCATCCATTAAGATGAGTGTAACTTGCAGCAGGAATTGCACAACTAAAGAGACAATGGTTGCTAAAAAGAAAGAGAAAAAACTTTACTCCTAATTGACAATGGATTAGTTTAAGTTTCATCCAAAAGTTTTATGTACTAAGACTTAAAAACAATACACCAAGGAAATTCTGAGCAGAAAACTAAAGATATATCATAATCAATTCATCCCTAAATAATATTCCTGCAAATTTTGAAAGAAATAAAACCTAGAAAGTGATTTATGCTTACTAATTGTTCTATTTCCTTATTTTTAAATCTGTTCTATCGAAATCTAGAAAAGTACACAGATTCCATGGCAATAAGAAACTCCATCCGCTCAGATCATGGCTAATCTAAATTACTCAGTTATTAACTCAGAAGGGGTGATAGCAGAAGAACTTTAGATTTCGCTAAAATCTCAAAGAAAAACCCAGAAATCACCATGGTTTTTCTGATAAAATTAAAGGGAGATTCTCAGTACAAAGCCAAAAAAGCAACAATTTCCATGGCGGAATCCGGATGTTCATCAATAATCAAACAACAAACAGATTCCCGAAGAATTTTGGGGCAACTCTAGAATTAAACACAGAAAAAAGGGGGGGAAAGAAGAAAAGTTTCGCACCTGTTTGGGAGAGAGGAGCTGGAGTTCACGAAATGTGGCTTCGTTTGACCACTCAGAGCAAAAAGATTCTTGCGTCCGGTACAGTAGTTGTGCTTTTTTCATCATGACAATTGATAATGAAAAGACCATATTACCCTCCAATTAGTATTTTTTTTAATTAAAATTTTGCAATTATTTTTTGCGCTTAAACAAATTTTTATGAATATAATTTAGATTGATTAAATCTAAAGTACTAATATTTAACCTTTTAAATGAGCTTAAATTTAGACCAATCACAAATGAACATTTGTCAATCATGAAGAGTTCCGTCTTCTTCGCCTATCGCTAGTAGAATAGTTTTGTCCAAAAATACACCCCCTTACTAATCAAATTAAACTGATACACAAATTTAGATGCATGTCTTGTGACTATAATTTTTTAGAATTTATGTAAGGAAATCTCGTAATTAATAATTTTTTTTTTGTAATATGATATTATTCATTTCGTGTAAAATCTAAAGTTATCGGTGTAATTACAAAAAGTATGATTAGACATTACACCCTCATAACGATACCCATCACTTTATAGTTGTTATAAATAATTTAATACAAATTATTCCTCCAGTAAAAAAAACACAGCACAACTCGTATGAAACAATCGTGACCTTAAGAAACTACAAGCTGCGACAAACAACCAGAACTCGAACACCTTTCACAAGCTCAAATGAAGACGTTCTACAACCTCGAGAATACTTGTTCCATACGATCGAGAAGTATAGAGCTTCCTCTTATTAAAGATTTAAACCAATTTACATATAGAAATCTCAGAACCATAGTATTATTCAAAACTGGAAACTATGACTTTTGAAAAAGGAGAAAAGAATGACCAGAACCATAGTTTTATTCACTCTCAAGGCTCATCAGACGCAGCCACCCAGCTGCAAATAAGTTACAGAATTGTAAGTAAGAATATCCCAGCAAAAGCAAACACAGGGAATGCAAAGCCATTCTAGTAATCAAAATTTGAAATGATTTCATGGATATGGAGTATATGGGCGTGCCGCTAAACGTACATCATCATGCTAGAAGTTAACATCGCTACATCCAAGTGAAATGCATAATCGTAACACCCCGTGTTCCCCCAATATGAAATTACCTACTTGTTGCTTTTAAGAGTGAAGATTATTCCCATAGACCACTACGAGTCATTTTAGCACGCCTGGTCTTCACTTACATGCTTCGCCGAAATTTTTTTAAGAGACTATCCAATATAGGATTGCTCCAAACTAAGCATGTTTGACTCTAAAGTTTTTATAATTGAGCCACTGAAAAGGAAGGTGCACCGTGTGTTAGGAACTACGACTCTCCACAATGGTATGATATTGTCCACTTTGAGCATAAGCTCTCATGACTTTACTTTTGGTTTCCTCAAAAGGTCTTGTACCAATGGAGATCTATTCCTTATAAACCCATGATCATCCCGTTAATTAGCCGATGTGGGACTCCCTCCCAATACCTTGTAGGCATAGATAGTCACGTCAATTCTTTTAAAGTCTTTCTCAATCATCATATCCTCAAGATCATTTAAATTCAAATGTGGTCTCAGCTCATTCATGTATCCCTATTTTACTCGGGCTTTACAATAATACTAGACGAAAATGCATCAACTCCTTGTTCCATGAACGAACAAACTCTAACAAACTAAACACAACCTCCTAATCACAAACGAATGATTTGTGCACTCGACTCGCTAGTCATTACTTCGACAACGATACACATACTAAAGTACAGAACGTGACCAGATCATATTTTTTAAGGTTTAAGGTATGCATCTCATGGTGATTTTCTTGCAATAAGTCCAAATTGAAAGCTTGAAGCACATTGCATTATAAGAAACAA